TGTAGACTATCCTTCACACACTGGGTGTCAGTTGATGTAGCTGGGCTCAGAGTGTTTTGTTCCAGTAGCTCCTCATGCTCAGTTAAGAGCATGTAGCCTGAGGAGTTTCCTCTCATGGGATGTGGGGAGTGCAAGAAAACGAGTCACAAGGTCAATCTAAAGACAGGGTAAAAGAAATAGATTCTGAATCTTTAATGGAAGAAACTGCAAAGTCATATGGCAAAGGACACAGAGAACAAGGAAGAGTTGGAACCAGTGATGCAATCTGCCACAGGCAGACAGTAGACACCTGGGATACCCTGATAATGAATTAATCTTCGTATTTACAGACCTGATCTTAATCATCCTCTCCACAAAAAGAAATTATAGCTAAGTGATATATGATATATATTGTAACATATAAATTTATCAATCAACATTATATCCTTTAAACTTATACAATGTTACCTGTCAATTATATCTTTAAAAACAACAATAAACAGGGCTTTCCCTGGTGGTGCCAATGGTAAAGCACTGCATTATGAATCTCGCAGAAATCACAGCAGCGTAAGTTCTATCCCCCTGCCAGGGAGTTGACCCATATGGCATGGCAGACCTCTCCTGACCTGCCTGTTGCCCCCCCTCAGCAGTGTATTTCAGTACATCTGCCTTTTCTGTTCCCCACTCTGTCTCTGATGAATCCTCTCACCCACCATACCTCTGGCCTGTACCCCTGTTCTGTAAGCATACATCTTAAAAAAAAAAAAAAAAGGATAAACAAAACACTAAACTTTGCTCCAGGCAAGGGGATGGCATCACTGTTTTTGTTTTTGTTTTCCTTTTTAAACAGAAGGGAAACATGCTTAGGTCTGATTACAGAAAGATGATTCTATTAGTTGGATGGAGGATTAGAGAGTTGAATGTTTACAGCCATCTGAAGTAGGGTAGTGGCTGTGGGAAAAGGGACAGAGGGACAAATTAAAAGTTTTAAAGCAGACTAAAGTAGGTCATCGTTAGGAAGAAGTCAGAAAATCAAAGACACCACTCCAGTTTCTAATTAGGCATAGTGAAACCACTAGCTACTTGTATCAAACATTCATTTTGTGCCAACTATTGCAGATATTTTATAAATACCATCCTGTTTAGGCACTACTGAAAACCTATGACATAATGTTGCAGTTTTCTATCATAACCTCTCTGGGTTGCTCTGGTAGGAAAGGGACCACCCTAGGGTACATAATGTGTTTTGAGGTTGAGAATGCATCAGTTATTTATTCTGTACAAACTTACTATTTGAAAACAGAAAAATGCCAGTGTAAAATATTGTTTTGATGCTTTAAAACACTGAAATTGAATCCTTTGTATGTTGTCTCCAGGTGCATTCATTTCCATTCATTGCCATTTTCTGTGCCTCTAATGAGGATTATCCACACCCATCATTTATTTCCCACATACCATTGAGCCCATCTGTATTTCCAGTAATCCCAAATGGAGAGGTTTTAGAATGTCAGGGGAGAAGCAGGCTTCCTTCGATCTCTAGCCTGCCAACTAATCTTGCTGGTTTTGGATTTACCAACTCTCACAATGAGAGTCAATTCCTTAAAATCTATCTCCACACAAACATATTCTGCTGTTTTTTTCTCTGGAGAATACCAATAAATATACTTCCCTGTCCCCATTCTCCCCAGGAATTACTCCCTAATTCTTCTTCTGTCTCTCTGACTTAAAACACTATCTAGGAAATAGCTCTCGCATTAGAAGACTTGGTGTATTGACATCAGTCTTCTCAAGGCTCCTCATTGGTGTTGAGTACTATGATTGGTGTCTAGGAGTGTATGACAGGTTTTCTGTTATATATTTTATGGTTTCGGGTTATATATACAAACCTTTAAAAGTTTTAAATCTTTGATTAACTTTGTGTATAGACACAAGTAAGGGTGTTTTCACTTTTTGACATGTGGCTGTTCAGGTTCCCTACACCATTTATTAAAGAGGCTTCTGTTTCTTCATTGTATGGCTGTGGTACCTTTGTCAAAGATTTTAATGGCAATTGCTCTGAAGTATTTATACTGACTTAGGTAATATAGTCACCTTACCAACATTAATTCTTTTCAATCCATGAACAGAATATCTTTTCATTTCTTTGTGTCTTCAATTTCTCTCAATGTCTTATAGTTTTCAGTGGATAGGTCTAGTGGTAAAAACAATATAGTATACACAGCTTTAGTTATAATGCTATATGCCTGAATGCAGATATGAGTTTATACATCTATACACAAAGGTGCCATGTATACCCAAAGCCTACATGAAGTTATAAACCAATATTATTTCAGTAAATTTTTTCTTAAAAAGTGCTAGAACCAACCAAAAACAAATGTTGGTGAGGACGTGGAGAAAAAGAAACTCTCTTGCACTGCTAGTGGGAATGCAAACTAGTACAATGACTCTTGAAAACTGTTTGGAGGTTCCTCAAACTGCTACAAATGGAGCTTCCATATGATCCAGCAATCCCACTCCTAGGTATCTACCCAAAAGACACAAAAACACTGATTCAAAAAGACACCTGCACCCCCATGTTTACTGCTGCTTTATTTACAATAGGAAAGACATGGAAACAACCCAAATGCCCAAAAGGGGATGACTAGATTAAAAGGATGTGGTACAAATACACAATGGAATATTACTCGAACAACAACCAAAAAAATAAATAAATAAACATATGCCTATTGCAGCAACATGGATGGAGCTGGAGAAAATCATGCTTAGTGAAATAAGCCAGAAGGAAAAGGAAAAATACCAGATGGTTTCACTCATAGCAGGAGTGTCAATAGACCAGGCAAGAAAATAATAATAATAATAATGAACAGCTATATACCAGAGACATTTTATGGGGAATGGGATCAAAAACAGTGGGGGGAGGGGAGGAAATGCACTGGACTATGCTGATGGCACACAGGTGATTTGGTGATAGGAAGCCCATTGGGATTACAACTGAGATGGAAAAATGCACAAAATGATGTAAAAATAAACTATTATAGAAAAAAAAATGCTAGAACCAGGTGGCAGCCCAGATACTGCTGAAAGTTTTTTCTTATTCCCTCCCTGGTTTTACAAGGGAATGTCTCCTGCATTTAAAGAATATGAGTAAAATAATGTATTTAGCCAATTCAACTCTTTTGTTCTACCCAAAAAAGGTCACTTTTATGGAATATGTAGATTTGAATCAGCACCTTAAGGGTAATTCAAAACCTGGTTTAGAAATTTTAGCATCCAGATGGAGACACATTTTTATACACAATTAACTAGTGAGTAGTCACTAGTTAACTAATACTCAACTCTCTAACACAACTAATATACAAGCTAAATACCTTGTGTCGATTAACATTATAAAAGAATCTAATAGCAGACTTTTCTCTTCTGTTCCTAAATTCGGTGTACTTTTTGTTCATATGAGCCTCAATTTTTAGGCTCCCTGTTTAAATCCCAAGCATATTTTAACCTTTAAAGAGTGAATGTGGATATATAAATGGATGTAGCTTTTTAGTCAGCAATTTGACAACAAACATCAAGCATCAAAAGACTTGAAAAGGCTCCTAACCCTGTTACTCAGTGATTACACTTAAAATAACCTGCCCACTGAAAGGACTGAAATGACAATCAATTGATATTTAAAAAATGGGTTATATACAAAGAAGTATGTCTCATGTGAAATAGGCAAAAAGATGGAAACAGTAAAATAGCCAACAATAGCAAAACTGAACACTTATGAAGCGGTCACAGGATTTATTATTCTGTAGTTATCAGCAATGATGTGTGTGTGCATTTTAATTACCTGCAATGTTCGTGATAGACATTAATAGAAAAAGTAGAAACTAAGCTCAAAACATAGTAGCCCCCTCCAAAGAGGACACACAAAGACTACCAATAATCGCATAAATGGAGGAAGTATATCAAAGTTACCTGAAACAGGATTATGAGAAATTTTTGTTTTTCATGTCTCCATTTTCCAGTGTTCTCACTTTTAAGATCAGTAACTGAAATAACAGTTGCATTGAGGGCCTCCCCAGTGGCACAAGGTTGGTTAAGTCTCAGCACTATCAAGCTGGCCAAGGATGTGACCCACATGGCACACACAGACCGCTCCTGTGTAGTCCACTGCTCCCCTCAGCAGTGTATTTTCATCAATCTGCCCGTTCTGTTCCCCACTCTATCCCTGGTGAATTCTCTCACTCCCCATACCTCTGGCCTACACCCCAATTCTTGTATGCATAAAAAAAAACTTAAAAAAAAAAAAAGAGTTGAACAGCAACAAAAAAATAGTTGAACATAAAAACAGGAGTAGAAAACCACCACAAACTATTGATTGCAATGTCCTCCTTTTTATTAAATTATAAAACTATTGGCAATACACACACTTTTGGAAATAAAATGTGTTTTTTCTTGATTATCTGTTTTTGTGGAATACATGCGTTTTAGACAAAAAAATTTCTATACCAAATCTTGGTCTTTAAGCGATTTAGCACTGATAGACAAACTACCAAGTGTAGCTATTTTATATATAGTCAGATTTTATGGAAAATATTACAAAGACAAATTCCTTCAAAAGATGACTCAGTGCAGAGAAAACCATAGCATATAAAAATTTAGTCAAAATGTTTTAGTCCATTATAGCTTTGCATAAAGCTTCAAAGGAAAAAAACTTAAGACACTTCTCATCAAAGGCACTTGGAGTTGTTTGTAGTAAAATACTTCTTTGAATTTAGTTTGTATCTGACAGTATTTTTATTCCTTTTCACATTGAAACAGTCCACAAAGGCAGCTATTAATGAGGAAAAATAGTTATCACTTCTTAATTTACATGTTAAAAATACACAAACAAAATTAATACAGATTTTGGTCCACTGAAGCAGGTAACAGTATCAGACTGTAGTGTTTCTCTTAATTCTGAACAAAAAGCCGTAAACTCCCTAGACCAGGGCCCAGACACTGAGCCTTCAGTTCTTCATTTGCAGTAGCTGTGCCTTCGCCTCCTCCACCCCCCAAGGAAACTGGGCTTAGGTCTCACCTCAGTGCATGTTAACAAGAAAGAACCTTCCAGTGCCTCAGCGGCAGTGCCGAAGGAAGGGAGGCTGGCTCCTTCCCATCACCTATAGCTCTGTGTCCCGGTAGCGGGAGGGCTGGCTGTAATAGCCACGCTTGGAGTGCTCGGACAGCTGATGGCGGTACTCTTCCTCCTCGGCATCGCTGCCAAAACTTCCCCTGGGATCCTGATAGAGTCTGGAAGGAACTTTCTGTGGCTCGGGTGCTCTGGAACTGACAAAGGAAGAGAGTTGCATGCTCCCAAAGGGAAAAAATTAAATGCATCCCAACACACAGCCTCCAATGGCCTGGAGGGGTGTGGCAGGAAGTCAGCACAGTACCCCACATAGATCACTGACTTTTGAGCTATACCTTGTGCCCACAAACCAGGGGTGCTGCTTGCCTGCTCGAGTGCACAGAAGGATATCAGTGGGGAAGGGAGTAACAGGCAAAGCCAGGGCCCATTTGGATACTCAGTCAGAAAGCCAGCAAGGCACCCTGACTGACCAAAGACCTGGACAGGGGGTGTCTTCTCTGTCCCTTAGCTCCTCAGCTATAGCATCCCCTTGTTGCCAGAAGCAACCTGCCTGCTTTTATCACCCTTCAAAGGTAAAGAAAAAATTGCCTCCGGCTTTTTACTGTTGTAAAACTAGATTCCAGCTTCCAGTCAAAATGACCCTCAAGAATATAGGGTTTGTGGATTTTTCTTGTATTCCTGGAAGCAGGAAACTATCCAGTATTCTCTTTACCATTATCCTTTATAACTATCCAGTATAAAATACCAAAAGGAAGAGATTGATAATTTTTGTTTTGCAGATGTCTTCACACCATATAACCTGTGTGCTCCAGTATGTCACAGAAGGCTGATGTGAAATATCAATGATCACACTTAGCCCATTTGGCACATAAGCAAAATTCCCATGAAATTTTGACTCAGTAGTTGTTGCAATTAAATTTGACTGAATGAGTAAGGTAAACAGTTCACTATGAAAACAAATTCTTATTGCTCTAAAAGGCAGGTGAAGAAAGCCCAAGCCCTAGTCAGGGCCCCCCTTTTAGGGTCATATGTGCCAAGCAGCCATTACCTTGTGTACTGGGGTGAGCCAGGTTCAGGCTTATGTGTTTTGATTGGAACTGCATAGATGTCAGGGTGCTTCTGAGCAATTTCAATCTGTGATGATAAAGAAAAAATATAGAATAAGACATGAAGAATGAACCACGGGATGGCCAGCTGGCTGATTCCCCTAGGTCCCACTCTTCTGACCCCATTTCAAGAAGAGGAAAAACAGAAGTAGCTCCCTAGTTTCTATGGCTGTGTGGGGGTACCTACAGAAAAAAATGTCAAGGAGGAATGAAATCCTGTCACTTGTGACAACAGAAGAACCTTGAGGACATTACACTGAATGAAAAAACCCAATCACCAAAGGACAGTGTGTGATTCTAGTCCTATGAGGTTCCGAAGAACAGCTGGCACTTAATCAACAAGGGTTTGAAATGCATGGATCCACGCACAGGTGGCTTTCCTACTAGACAGATGATGTGAACTTAATGATACTGATAAATACATTAAATACTGTGCAGGTATTTTCCATATGTTTTCTTAATAACATGTTCTTTTCTGAAGTTTACTTTATTGTAAGCACACAATCTAAAATACATAGAACACACAGAATGTGTTAACTGACTGCTTCTGTTATCAATAGCAGGCTATTAGTAAAGGTTTGGGGAAGTTGAGTTACGTCTAGATTATCAACTGTGTGGCGGGGGAACATTGGTGACATAACCCCAACATTGTTCATGGACCACCTGTACTCAGATTCAGGGACAGATGTTAAGAGTGGGGCTACCAGGGGCTGGAGGAGGGGAAAATGAGAAATAAGTATTCAATATCTGGGGTGGAAATGGATGGTGGTAATGGTTGCTCAAGAATGTGAAATGCATTTAATATACATAATTATTTAAAAATGGTAAAAATGGTGTATTTTATGTGTATCTTATCACATATACAGAGAACAGTGCTATGGTACTATCACAGATTTGAAGGAAGAAAACACCTATTAAGGGCAGGTCATGCTCCATTGATTTTTCTTAAGTTCCTTAGGCTTTTAAAGGTTTTTAATTTTTTTAAAGATTTATTTATTTATGTATATAGAACTGGGATACAGGCCACAGGTGCAGAGGTGGTGAGAGGATTCACCAGACACAGGGTGGGGCACTGCTGAAGGAAGCAGCGGGCGAGTCAGGAGAGGTCTGCCGCGCCATGTGGTCACCTCCAGGGTGGAGATTGAACTCATGCTGAAGTGGCTTTAGCTTCTCAGTGCTGTGCTTTAATCTGCTGCGCCACTAGGGAGGGCTGACTTTTATGTCCCCATGTCACAACAAATTAAAATGGTATCAAAAAGGACAATCTTTGGGGCTTTTTTCAATTTTAGCATCCACAGTTTGTTGGTTTCTATGGCAAATCTGGGAGAAAATTAAAACCCTGCTACAAAACATTACTTTTTTAAAAAAGAAAGACTTTATTTCTGTATGTAAGAACTGGGGTACAGGCTAGAGATGTGGGGGTAGTGACAGGACAGAGAGACATCAGAGACAGAATGGGAAGCAGAACAGGAGGATCAATGAAGTACACTGCTGAGGGGAGCAGCGGGTGAAACAGGAGAGGTCTGCCACGCCATGTGGGTCACCTCCCTGCCCAGGGAATCGAGCTTGTGCTGCACTCCTTAGTGCTGCGCTTTAACCTGGTGCACCATAGGGAGAGCCCATATTTCAGTAATTTTAAAGAAAAATAACTTCTCAGGAGCACTGATGCTCCTGTCACATGTCCACATCTAAGGATATGATACCAAGTCCTAAAGTACAAAGAGCAGAACCGTATTTATCTACACTAGTAGGTTTTCTTTTTCCTTTTTTGCATAGAAGAACTGGGGTATAGGTCAGAGGATTCAGAATAGGGAGCAGAGCAGGCAGATGTATTGAAATACACCACGGAAAGGAACAGCAGGCAGGACAGAAGAGGTCTGCTGTGCAATGTAGGTCAACTCCCTGGCCAAAGATGGAACTTGGGTGATGGTGGTGAAGCACTAGGACTTAAGCCCTCCACCACCAGGGAGGCCCTGGGTAGGTTTTTTTGATTTGAAGGAAAAAAGCTGCATGGAGAGCAGGCAGCAACACCATGTAGAACACACCTTTGGTATTGTGCACATCCCTGGCAAGTTGGTAGTAGTGGAAAAAAGGACTGCAAATCCATTACACTGAACTGAAACCAATTTAAACACTTTATAGAGTGCAGAGACAAACCCGTGGTTTAAAAACAATTACCCTTGGCCCTCCCTGGTGGTGCAGCGGGTTAAACCACAGCACTAAGAAGCTAAAGCCACTTCAGCATGAGTCCGATCCCCGTCCTGGGGTGACCACATGGCATGGCAGACCTCTCCTGACCGCCCGCTGCTCCCCTCAGCAGTGTACTTCATCTATCTGCCTGTTCTGCTCCCCACGCTGTCTCTGGTGAATCCTCTCACTGCCCCTGCACTTCTGGCCTGTACCCCAGCTCTGTATGCATAAATAAATAAATCTTAAAAAAAAAACAAAAAAAAAAACAATTACCCGTGCATTCTGTGCTTCCTGGAGCTCGTGCATCCTCTGTAACCTGGCCTTGTGATCCATCTTCTCAAATATTTTCACTTTTCCCAGGACAGACTTGGGAGTGTTGTCTGGCTCCTCACTGCCTTCTCCTGCCTCCTCGCTCTCCGGAGGGATGGGAGTGGACGGTTTCAGAATAGACTTTCCAAAGGAAGGTTTTGCTGCCACAGGAGGAGGATAACCCTTCATTGATCCCCCAGGAATGTCATTGCCAGCAACGACTGAGGGGTTTGACTTGTGTTCAAGGGCTTCTTCTCTGTTTTGGCTTCTGGCCTGTGGAGAGCAATGACATATTTTTAGCTTGGGCTTTTAGTTTATTTTCATATCTGTATTAGTGGATTTAATATATTCCATTTCCTGATCAGTTTCCACAGGTGGGTAAAAATTCCATTCCCAAGAGGAATCAGAGAACTCAGGGCAAAGAGCCCCTGGTTGGTTATCCTGAGCCCTAGCTTGCTTCCTCCAGAAGACTCTCAAGAGCTCCAGGAAACCATGAGGCATCCTAGAGCTAGAAGTAAATCAAACCTTCATTTCATAGAGGAGATTAGAATCTTGGAGAAGACCTCAGGGTAAAGCAGGCTTAACAAATGGTAAATCTCCTGAGTTCATGCCTCTCAGAGAGTAGATGTCCTGGCCACAAGTGAGGCTGATGTCCAGCCAGAAGCAAAACAGACCGTGGCGATGGGTGGGTAGCACATCATGCTAAGCGCCACTTTTCTGAGGTCTGCTTAACAGTTTTCACTAATACACTTCCTAAAAATCACTGCTTCTGATGGTTCACATACTGTCTTGTCATAAAGTATTAAGCTAAACAGAAATTGGGGGAGGGGTGATAAGGGAAAAAAGTTCCAATTTTGATTCAGAGAAAGGGAAAAAATTATATGACATATGCCCAGCCTACTTTATATTGATTCTGTTCTGCATAATGATTTATTTTCAATATTAGTTATGCTACCTCATTAAAAGAGGAAGTGTAAACAACTGGTAGTGATTGTTTTCTTTAGCAAATCACCAGTAAGGATTTTCTGGTGCATTTAATTGAGATTACTGGGCAGAAAAATTTAATTGGACAGTAGCAGAAAAATAGATTTTGAGATTAATGAAACTGGACATGCAACTTTTGTTATTTTCACCATTAACTGTCCTAAATGGTCTATTCTCCTAAGCTGCCTTTCCTTCCTATCCTTTGAATTTTCCATTATTTTGGTGTTCAACCAACAGACCAAAAGACTGGCTCCATGAGTTAAAAACATAACCCAACACCATCTTGTGTGTGTTCTCTTCCAGGGCGCCTGCTTCCTCTGTCTTCCCATCCGGGGCTTCCCAGCCACGTACCTTGGGAGGCTCTGGCTTGAATGCGGGGGGCGGGCTACTGTCCCTAAGTTGATCTCTGCTAGCAGCCCTCCTCAGCTGAGCTCGTGGCTCTGGGCTGGGTTTCCTTATGCTCTACAAGACATAAAGGTTCATTCATAACAAGAAAATCCCAGCAGAGAAAAGAGTGCATTTGTCTCATTTGCTGGAGTTCTGCCAAGTGGTATAGTAAGTTCAAAAGGAGAGGTTGGGAACCACTGCTTCTTTGCTTAAAAGGGAAATAACAGGCATATTCCCACTATATATAAATGCTTAAGAGATATTAAGAAAATAACAAAACTGGCTGTATTCTCTTCCTTTAAAGAGTAATCTCTTCCTTTAAAGTACAACAAAACAAATTAAAAAGAAGTTTCTCCTAAAATCTAAACTCTTTGTCAATAATAGCTGCTAACATCTTAAGACATGAGTTCATTGCTATCTGTAGAAATTTCAAAGTTAATTCTTTAGAATCTGTCCAAAAGTATGTACTAACTTTTTTTTTTGTAATGGTGGGTTTTTCTACCCTTTAGTTTCTTGGTGTTTTTTGTTTGAAAAGAATAAAATCACTCACTGAAATGAATTAAATTGCTAAAGGCAAGGCACAGCCATAATTATCCAAAAACATGGATAATCTCATCTATATAAATCATTATTCCAATGTTCTCTGAGGCACAATAATTGCTCTGGCCCTAATTTAGTGCCTAGCTATGTGATTTCTAGGATCAGAAGCTTTCTATTAACTAGCCAGAGGATGCACAGCACATGTGATCAGGTTTCTATTTGATCATGAGCTCAATTGAAAAATTGTAATATAAGAGAAAAGGAAACTGATGGGGAAACTCTCAAGAGCTTCAGCAAAATTAGAAAGGTTAAAGGTTGGGAGAAGAAAAAGCAAGGAACCTAAGAGTCCAGAGAGAGACCTAATCAAAGGTTACAAGTAAATACAACAATATTATATTTTAAAATAACATTCCACTGTAATTTGGACAGCCGGCACATAATGCCATTCGGTTCATCCATCACCCCCAAAGGGATGGTAAGATGCGTGCTGACGGCTCAGCCTCTCCCAGCGCTTCGTCCCTGGCCCCTTTCCCTGGAGCCCAGCCTCCACCACCTGGGCTGACTTGGAATGAGTGCCTTCCTAGAAGTCACCTGGTCCAACCCTCAGGAGTACCTTGCACAGCACCCTGAACAAGATTCAGGGTCCAGAAGAATTCGAAGGAAACACCAGAATCTCCTTTTCTGCCCGTGGCCTCGCAGCCTGTGGCCTGCCTCGCCTCACCTCCTCATGCTGCACCGGCTCCGAGGAGCGGGTGATGGAAGACACCAGCGGCTCCTCGGCTGGCTCATCCAGCTCATTGTCAGTGTAGGCGCCTCCTTCACCGTCGGTGTCTTCAAAGTCACTGGTGATGCGGCTGTCACAGCTCAGATAATCCGCGCCCATGGCGGTTAAGCAGGACATGCGGTCTTCGGGGTCATCATCCAGCCCTTCCATCTAGAGGAATTTGTTTTGAGGGTCAGTGGGGTCTGAGATGGCTCCTGGGAGTGAGGACTCAAGAAAATTCCCAAGGACGCAGACAAGTGACTGAAACCTTCCCTTGTCTAGAAAGGGAAGTCACCTTTATTTTCCTGGAATCACTTGGTTTTAAATGACTAGATTAATTTCTATGCCAGGACTCAAATCAGTGCCTTCCACGCTATCTATCCTTGCTGTCATTGCCCCACATGCCACTCCTGAGCCACACTTGCTCAGACGGTTGTGCTTTTCCTCCAGAATCTGGCTCCTCTCCAGGTTTTTCTCCTGGTACCTGCTTCCAGGTACCAGGCCAGCCGCCTTGCAGTGCATGTCTTGCCACTCTTTCACAAGACTCTCACGTCTTAGAGATGCTATGACCTGTTCAGCTGACTCTCACCATGGAAGCTTCCACAGAGCTTCAGCAGGAGTCAGCACCCAGCAGGTAGGAGACAGATCAACTGAACACGCAGTTTCCAAAGAGTAAGAGACTCAGCCTCAACAATCAAATTGGAGATGGACTCCTTTCTGCAACAAAACTGTACCTGTAACATCCTGCAGACTATCTCAAGTCAGTTGACTTGTGGAAATTGTATCTTTTCTACCCTTTCACCTGTAGTAGAGCCCTCCACAGAAGAGAAGCTAGCCAATTTTAGAAGCCTACACAAGTTCCCTTAAGGTCCTCTTATCACTTACCCAAATTCCTAGGACACATTCTTTATCAATCTTCTTTTTAAGCAAATATTTCCAACTCTATGAGCTTTTCTTCTTTCTATTAATTTTTAACCATGTTCTCCATGCTATTCAGCCTCCCCTCTCACTTCTACTCTGAGTTTCCACATTTTTAGCAAGCTGTGGAGTTCAGCATGAGATCTTGTAAGCTCTGATTAGTGTGCTTGGAACACAACGCTAGTTGCTACGTTAAAAGTAAAAGGGAAGTGAATGTAGGGTTGCAGACATCACATTCTGCTTTTCTTTCCAAAGGCCCGGCATTTTATCACTTTTTTTCTGAGTATATATGAAACTGCAAATATTGATAAACACCTATGTTGGAATCACTTCAAATGGGCCTGGTTTCACTACATTCACTAACCTCTTGAGAGAAGATTCAGAACACGGACTCTCACCTCTGAGCAGTCACTACACCACATACCTTTCCTTCAGAAACCCAAACTGTTTCTCCTTGTTGATGATGAATTGTGTCCTTTAAGCAGCCAAACCAACTATCATTGGCTGAATTTAGGTTGATTGTGGCTAGAGAATGCAAACAACAAAAGGTTTATGTCAACTTCCAGAATAATTTCAGTACAAATGCTATCTGAATTAATTTGTACTAATTTCACTCTTCCATCCATTAAAGTAAGATTTTGACAAATGCAAGTCAAAGTTAAGGGTAATTAAAATGGTTAGCATCTAGCTGCTGGAGCTCATAGTGCAGCTGAGTGTGGTGGAGAGAAAATGGGTTACACTCAGCCCTCAGTGCCAGACAGCCTCTCCACTGTCGGATGAACAACTGGGAATCAAAAGCATGGGTGCTACAATGGCTGTATCTGTGCTGAACATGTATGACAAATTCTCCTTGTCATTATTTCCTAAATAATATAGCATAGATATATCATAGATACTGTTTATATAGTCTTCACATTGCTTTCAGTATTGTAAGGAATCTAAAGATGATTTAAGTTGTGCTAGAGGATGCACACATACTTTATACAAATATTATGTCATGTTATAGATGGGATTTGAACACTAGTGACTTCTGATACACAAGGGTGTGTGTGTGTGTGTGTGTGTGTGTGTAGAGGGCTTGTTCTGGAACCAAGTCCACTCAGTTAACCAAGACTTTAATTCCTTTTTTGAATGTCTATTTATCTGAAAAGCTACCTTTAAAAACCTATTTTTAAGAGTATGCTTTTAGGAACAAAAATAACACCTCTCAACTAAATATAAAAGATTACTACATTGACATGTATGTTATAAATAAGAAAATACATATCAATATAATGTTAGTTGTTGCCTATAACATACTAAAAGTAACATTTAAATATATAACTCACATACAAATTAAATATAGAACACACATACAAATTAAATAAACTCCATAGGGTATATTCAAGGAATATATGTTTTCTGCTGAGAACAAAATGTATCTTACATGATAGTACTTACTATGGATTAACCATACACTTTTCTAAAAACCTTCAATGGATTAGCTCATTTTATACTTACACAAAACTTACAAGGTAGGTATTGCTATTATAGTCATCGTGCAGAAGAGAAACCAACACACAGCAGTGAAACTGCCCCAAGGCTTTCCACTAAGTCATGTGGAGAAGGCTGGACACAAACTTAGAAATTTGCCTTCGGAACCTATGGCCTTAGCCTCTGTACCACATAGCCCACTTGAACACATGGATTTAGAGCACTGATAAAAACTCCAGCTAAGTGAAACATCTGCATTCATTTCTCTACAGTATATATTTATGAACCTATGAGGATAAACCAGATAAAACGGGCCCAAAAATGTTCAGATAAATTAGGATTTTTAAAAACTACTTTGTTGAGGGCTTTTACTGCATTAAATATATCATCCAAAAGAAAAGTGGATTTGTTGGTAACGGATATTTGGTACTTTGCTGAATGAAGTCTGAGGTCTGCTTAATTTCACATACACATTGAAAATAAATATTCAGCAAATTTTGTAAGCAATCATGCTTCAAAAGTTTCTTCCTAGTAATACAAACCCTTCTTACATTTAAGAAGTTCTAACACTGACCTTGAAAGATCCTGAATGAGCTTAGAGTTCCCTTGGTTATTAATTATTCATAGCATTCGAATAAACTGATACATTGGACAACTCAAGGAAAATTAATCTTGATTCTCTGTATCCTTATCGTGGTATTTTGCAAAGATTGCTGTGCTCCTGGAAGCGAGGCTGTGACCCCAGAGACCAAATCGGTGAATTGCACTCAATGTATAAATAGTACACTATCCTTTAAAGTGTAGTTATCTGATATAGATGTCGTTTGTATTTACCATAAGAAAAACCAAAAGTTAAAAAAAATTGGCTGTTTTACAAAATGTGGAAAATATACTCATGCTGCCTAATAAAGTGAAAAAAAAAAAGTCAAAAAGCCTCTTATTGAGTTCACCTTGACTCACATTCATGAAAAAGAAAAGGGTTCACAGTAGCTATTTTTCCAAGCCCCATATAACGGTAACATCCTATTTAGGCACTTGGCCTTTTTTTAACAGGAGGGTGTTCAACCGGGATGCTGCCTTCCCAAATACCTTTGGTTTATTGTTGGATTTTGAGCATTAAGTTTTTCAGATTACTTGACTTGCAAACGGGAACTACTGTCCCTGCCTCTGTAGACCTATGCCCCTCCAAATAGGCTTAAGACATCTCTCATACTCAAGAAAATGCAATAGTGAAGGGACTTTCACATAGCCTCTTCTTGGCTGTGGTCCTAGGACTCTGGGGCATCCATGTCCTGTCCTGGCACAAGGTTAATACTTTCTCCCCAGCAAATTAGGAGGAGCAGTGCCAAAAGCAAAGCAGAAGGTGTCACGTAGGCTGGGAGGAGTGAGGAGAAGCTGTGGAGGGCCTGCTTGTGAGTATGCAGTTTCTTTCTGGGGTGAGAAAACATCCTAAAATTGATCATGGTGGTTGGTTGTATAACTGAATATACTAAAAACTACAGAATCATACACTTTAAATGGGTAACTTGTAGGGCATGTAAATTAAATCTCAATAAAACTATTCATGTGGCAGAGACTCCTCTAAACAGCAACCATCAACCAAGGTGCCTGTCCAGGGATTATGGCACGATCCATCTACTTCCTGTGGTTACCAGTCTCTACCCTCGCCCTCAAGAAGCCAAAAATTGCCTACTGCATTTTAGGTTCTTTCCACTTATACAAAGGACAACTTTCCTTCCTCTCAAGTTTTCTCTGACCACATAATGACTTTTTTTTTAAACATTGTGTAACACTGGAAGATGAAATATAAAGATAACTAGCATTATCACTATTAAAGTAATACATCTAATAATAATGGGTAGCATTTGCTCGAAATACTTCCAAAGTCCCAGGACTGAACTGCACAAATTTCACTTTAATGAGACTGAGGAAAACTGCTAAAAGTGCTAAAATGCCCTATGGAGCTCTTAAAATTCCCTATTTTCTCATAAAACATAGCCCCACTTGGATCTCTAAGTGCTTAATTCCATGTCAATGGTTTTTATACCATGAAATGAGTGCTTTGGGAATTCCAAGAGACCATGGAATACAAGCTTTGTTTTAAAAATAACTTTTGTAAGATGTTTTCAATGGTGATTTCTTTTTAACGGATGGAGAAGAAGCAGTCTAACATTTCAACTATGTTAACAAGTCTAGTTGCTTTGGAGCAAATCTTAGAATAAAGTTCTCATGTCATCTCCACTGAACTGAGGAGAGCACCTGAAATTACCAGAACAGCTATTTTCAAACTGTCCTCATCTGTGTAAAAGGGGTTTTGTTACTGTGTGATGAGAAAAAAAATTACTGAGCCCAGTGAGCCTACATACAACTAATCCTTGATTCCACATTACTGTGTTCAAGTCTTACTGTGTTCAATAGCCTTACTATTCCTACCAACTAATTTTTTTTTTAAGATTTATTTATTTGTGCATACAGAACTGGGGTACAGGCCAGAGGCTCAGGGGTGGCGAGAGGCTTCACCAGAGACAGAGTGGGGAACAGAACAGGCAGATCGACAAAGTACACTGCTGAGGGGAGCAGCGGGCGGGTCAGGAGAGGTCTGCCGCGCCATGTGGTCACCTCTGGAACAGGCGGGAATAGAACTCATGCGGAATTGGCTTTAGCTTCTCAGTGCTGTACTTTAACCCACTGCGCCACCAAGGAGGGCCCCCTACCAACTAATTTTTACCAAGTCACAAATGTGAAATCATGAAAAGAACCATTGAGTCCAGCCAAAGGTTCACATCACAACCTGGTGAGGTGACATGAGACACTGCGAACAGAAAGCATGAAACGAAATGATCATACAGCTTTGAAGTGTCAAACTTATAAAGTATGGGAAAATATTGTAAAAGGCCATCTGGTAGGTAACTGGAGCTTACTGGTCCAAGTTGCTCCACTGAGGTCCTCAAGGCTACATGATTCCATACGAGACTGGTGACTGGGTGAGACTGTGGTGACAACAACTCACTTTAAAGTTCCATGCTCAGTGTCTATGTTCCCATCCCACTTGGACTTCAGTCATCGTGAAACCTTTGACCTCCCGAGTCACTCGGGCAAGCAATGGCCTGGAGTGCCAGAGGCAGGTCTACTGGAGTCACAAACACTTATATCCGTGCAAGTAATGCTGGTCTCCTCAGACACCAGGAGCTGGACAGCCCTAGCTTCAAGGATCTGGTAGTATATACAGAGATGTGGGTATTCTGTGGTATGCTAGGCTCACCAGCCTTTCAGACACCCACAAAAATTTGAACTTCACTGAAATGACCAATTATTGCATGTCACAGGTCTGTATGATCATTTTCCAATAGTTAAAATTGCAAAAGTAAATATATAAACGTCACTGGTTTAATATTTTCATTGCATAGGATTGACTACTTTTCAAAGAAGGATTGTTAGGATTTTGATCACTGTTCTCCAGTCATATTGTTTTCTCATGTCTGCCACACTCTTATTTCTCTTGTTTGAGCAAAGAGACCGCACTTTCAATTTCACATACCTGTAAAAAGGTGTGCACAAGTTTTTTTAAGCTTGTTAGCTTGATCATATAACTTTCGAGAACTTTTGTTGGATGTTGGATTCAACCTCTGTCTCATGACTTTGACACCTTGTCTAGAATCTGGGTTGAAAAAAATAACAATCGGGAACCACTGAGTATAGTTCAACAGGTCCACAGCTTTCGGAGTCACATCCAATAGTGCATGCTTATTCTGTCAGAAATGGGAAAAGGTTATGCTCATATGTATGAAAAGTCACAGGTACAGCATCAGAGTTTGTCTTAATAAAGGCTGAATATAATAAAACAGTGATTTAAATGAAAAAAGCAGAAAACCTTTCTCAACACATTATGTAAACTCAAATATTACGAATCTGTTAGAACTTCTAACAAAATGAATAACAGGTTATTTAATTCAATGCTGAGAACTCTGAAAAAAACAACAAAGAACTGTAACTGGTGTCCACACAACTTACAGTTACATTCATTTACACAGAGATTCTGTTCTAAAAAAGACTGCGTAAACCAAGGCCCAATTCTTCCTGTGGCTCACCTGTTCAATAATTTGCCTCACGGTATTTAAACGCACCACCCCGCTGGATTTCTCAGATCCTGCATCCTTTGGTTCTGTTTCTAAAAGTAAAAAAAAGGGGTGGAATGAACAACTAATCAATTATCCGAAGCTAGCATCACCAATGACAGCACACCTCACATAGGTGCCTCCTGATGAGGGCAGGCAATGGGAAGGAGCCACGCTACCTGTTTAACTGAAATCTAGTCAGGAAGAAATAGACCAGTCCAACAGGGGACATCCCATGAGACATCTGGACTCTTCAAATTATAAATGTCACAAAGTAATTCAGAAAAAGGAGGGAATGAGAAAGACATAAAAATCAAGTGTAATGCATGATCCTTTGCTGCATTCTGAATTTTAGAAAATGTTATGAAGGACAAATTAGACAACAGGAAATCTGAAAAACAGATTCTATACTAAACATCATTATTACATCAATGTTTAATTTCTTGGCTGAGGGATAGTTTTGTTGTGTAAAAGAATCTCCTTATTCTTAGAGGATTCATAGTGGCAACATGTATCAATGAAGTCCAAAAACCAAATTTTCATATAGATGAACAGAAATTTAAAAAAAGAAACAAAACTGAGGAACAAATGAAAGAAAAATTCTTAGTGTATGACAACAAACAGTGGTTGTCAGAGGGAAGAGCCTTAGGTCAAGGAAGTCAATTTTATGTAGTACACACAAAGGTTGATTTATAATGCAGTATGCTAGAAACCCATGTAATGCAACAAACAAATGTGAGTTCAGTGAAAAAGAGGAATTCCTTTTAGAAGAGGAATTTGCAGAAGGGTGTACACACAGTCCATAGGAGGGTTGCATGGCAAAATGTTAAGAACTGTTGACAGTGACTGATGGAGGGTATATAAATAAATGCTCATCATTTTTTTCAATTTTTCTGTATGTTAGATATATTCCAAAATAAAATTTGAAAAGAAAAAACTAGTATCACTCATAGACTTACTAGCAGCTTGGAACAGGTCAGGTAAATCATTTGCCAACTTCTCCAGTGCTATATCAGCTATGGGGCCAAACAAAACCACAGGCCTCTTGAAACCAGCTGAAATGAGACAAGAAAGGCCATAAGAACACGTACAATTCCTTAGTTATCTTATTGTTAAGATAGGAAGCAAAAGCATTTCACAGGCGATTGATAACACAGCTACATGAAAGAAATGGAATGTTCTCCCACCCCCAATTCAGCTTGGCTCCTCCCTGAAGACTATGTATGTATTCACTCAGTAAGTTTGAACTTGATTATTAAAGTCTGAAAATGAAGAAAAACCAGGTTGGGCCCAAACAGAACAGTTCCTGGCCCTGCCTGATTTCCTTACCTTCTCGCAGCAAAACCCTCTCATAAGCTGGGAACTTGGTGCTGACAGACACGACAGCTGTCAGGTCTTCCCGACTCTTCCTTAAGTTCTTCTTCACACCAGATCTCTGGCCTCTCATTCTCCAGAAATCTGCCCTGTCTCCAGCATTGTCCCTCTGAGCATTCTGAACACTGGCCATTTGTTCAGCTCTAAAAGAAGAAGCCACAGGAAGTAAATCTGCACAACAATGCCATGGAAGTTACTAGAGAAATCATTCAATTTTACTTATGAGCTTGAATTAGAGAAGATGCCATTTGATGATGAAGTCTCTCAGGGTGGGAAATGCATGGATATCCTTTTCCCAGTGGAAACAGAAAAACCTGGAGCACATAAAAGCCACCAGAAGTAGCTAGAATAAACAGTTAAAGGAAGTCCATTCTCAGGGGCTGCTAGACAGCAAGCCTACCTGGACCCTCTGTTGAAGTAACTATACTTTCTTGGCCTTCCACTGTCAGCCATTCATCAAGTCCTGCTGCCTCTTCTAAGAATGAGAACATGGCATCAGGCAAGGGCGAAATGTCGCTAAGGTTGGCTGACCTGCTACAGCCACTTAGTATTGGCTCAAATTTGGTAATGGGCATGTAAGGAAAATGCCAGCCAAGTGCAGCAACCAACCACATGATGCTAGCTACCCACAGAACAGCTACTGGCTAGTTCACAGTTCCAGATCACGTCATATCAACAAGTAGAGGATGGGTAGAGGACCATGGTTACAAACAATGAAGTTAAGTGGGGCTTCCTTTTGGGAGGAGTGAGGTTAAACAGGAGTGTGTGGGCGTGTGTGATCTCAGATACCTGCTTTTGTTGGGGATTAAGCCTTTTTCCAACTCGTTTCCAATCCGCACCGCCAGCCAGTGGCCCAGCTTGCCATCGTACAATGTATCTACCACTCGGAAAACCTCCCCCCTGGTGAAGGCCAGGCTCTGTGCCGTTTCCTTCTCACATTCAAAGTGGCTTCTTATGAAAAACGAATCCCCTCTTCCACAAGCCAATATGTCTCTATACACTGAAAGAAAAAACATTGTTGTAAGTTGTGTTGAACTTAGCCAAAGATCTTACTTGAAGAATTAACAGCTTCTGTTATCTCTCACCACCCTCTTTACTTCTCTTCAGTTAATGAACCTATTGTACTGGCCTATGGAAATCACAGTTCAAACAGGAAGACAGACAAATAGTGAACTTTATGCGTTTCTGTGATGATTAATTTTATGTGTCAACTTTGCCAGATAGTTACTGCCCAAATATCTGGTCAAACATTATTCTGGGTGTGTCTGTGAGGATTTATTTTTGGATGAGATTAACATTTAAATTAGTGGACCGAATAAAACAGATTGTTCTCCCTGGAGTGGGTGGGTCTCTTACATCAGTTGAAGGCCTGAATAGAACAAAAAGGTGCACTTTCCCTTAAGTGAGAGAAAACAAACTGTTCTTTACTTCAAAATAACACAACATCCTCTTTCTAGTCTTCTGACTCCAAATGAAATAACTGGTCTTACTGGGTCTTGGGCTTGCCAGCCTTCCAACTGCAACTATCCCATCAGCTGTCTTGGTCCTTATGTTCTAAGACTTGTACTGCAACCAAATCAGCTTGTAGACTTCACTGTGCAATTTGGGACTGGTCCGTAAGGGTATACACCAATCCCTTACAGTAAATCTCTGTGGTCGTATGTGTGTAACACAATAGGATGTGTATGTAACTAAGTATACATGTACAATATACAAATGTTGTATGGCTTGTGTTTCTCTGGAGAAACCCAATATATTGCCAAATAACCCTCTGAAACAGAAGATACTATCAACCCCCACTTTACAGATGAGCCTAAGGCTTAGAAAGGTAGAGCAATGTTTCAGGCGGATAAGGGTTAGGATGGGAGCCAAGTAGCAGGCATGTCCCTTTGCATCTATCCTATGGAAAATTCACTATTAACTTTAATTGATAATTAATGGCTCAGTGTTCAGAAAAGCAAATTTAGTGGAGATAATTTCAGTGTACATAGAAAACATTTTTGTAGAAGGTAAAATGGCACCTATCCATTTTTCCTCCATATAACAGTGATCCACATATTAGTTATCAACAGTCACTTTTATTTAACTACGCAGCTTTGTCCATTTTGGTCTCAAGATAATCTCTCCCAACCGCCCCACTCCCCTCATCATTAAACTAACAACAAAACTTGCTCACCATCAGCTCGGCTCTGAGCTAAAATGGTCACCATTTCACCTTTCGGGATTTCTAACAGGTAGAGAACAGCGTCTTCCCGAACCAGCCCTCTGAAGTCCTGTGTGTTCACCTGGTAAGAGAAAACATGGGGGAGAAAAACAAAAAAGAAGTTTAGAACAAGGGGTCACTTGAGCTTTTCATGTGATTTTATCAGGGTGGCCCAGAGCAAACCCCAGATGTGTAGATGTGGGCAGTGTTCCAGCTGAGTCATGTGCCTACTAGTGCCCAGCTGTGTGCGAGTCCCCACACCTCTCTGCCTCCCCACACTGCTGACCACTCCTTTGACTCTGCCCTTCCAGCAGGGAAGGTTCTAGGTGGGGCTCCCTCCTTTGAGTCCCCAACAAAGGTGACCAGGAAAGGAACGTATAACTTGGAAACCTGTAACTGTGTAAACAAGGAGTGCTGGGGTATGTGGCCAACAAGTATGTTAGGCCAGTTTAAGAAAGGCATTAACACTTTTAAAATTGGCTCAAATAAATGCCAGAAAATAAAGATACGTGGGATGGAAACATGCGTGTGCAGCAGAACACGTGCCTTGGCAATAGAAGAAATACACACATGTGCTTGGCTTATTAATGATAGGATATGGTTTTTGCTTCTCTTTTGGAACCTCTAACCAGTTCCACCTTTCTGTTATAGCTTCTGCCACCTAAAAGTATCTAACAAGTTTATGAAATTGAAGAACATTCGTCTTATGTGGCAGACAATTAGCCTAACACATGGGCCTGTATATTTAAGCTTCTGCCACACATTTTTGGCATGGAGCCCCCGACATTTATTCCGCATTAATTGAGTTGGTGACATTGAAAATAGCTTTTGGAAGATGAGCTAAAAAGCAAGTAAAATTGAAATGTAGCACAAAGAAAAGGACATTTTGTCTTTTTCTTGTTTCTTTAAAAGTTTTGTAAAACAAAATAACTACAAATAAGTTAACAGAAATTATCTCAATGTACCTAATATTTTAATAATGTTACAAAAATGAAGATACAAAATTGCAAAAAAAAAGTTTTTCAGACATGAGGACTATAGAATGCTTTAATCTGAGAATAATTTATTACTGAAAAAACATTAAGTCCAAGGAAAAATGGTCAAGTTCAGACTAAAACTTACTTGACATTTTATCTCAATGAAAGTGATCTGCTAAGATGATCATGTCAACTTTACCTGGAAACAATATTTCCCACTTAAAATAATTGCCATTCTCCTGGCTCCATACCCCAATTAAGGAACTTGGCACTTTTGTATCTAATCTTTTATTGTGTCCTTTCTGCAACTACACCTGTCTCCAGGTGGTTGGTCACATATATGTTTTTATATGCACAGTAGATGTTTTTATTTGTTTACTTAAATAAGATCAGGATGTAGGCTGTGGGTGCCTCAAAAGTCCTGCTGTCCAGCTCTCTGGACCTGAGCCCAGCAATTCAAAATGACAATGGTCAAAATCAAAGCACAAGTGGTGGCAACATTTTTTTAATTATACATGGTTAACAACCAAACTTTTTCTCTTTTCCATTCCACAGAAGTTTCCAAAAGAGAAGCAAAAACCACATCATATCATTAATAAGCCAAGCACGAGTGTGCATTTCTTCTACTGCCAAGGCACGTGTTCTGCTGCACACAAGTTTCCATCCCATGTATCGATCAGGCTATCACAAATGGAAAAGCCCCATGTAAAAACCCAGTACAGAAGAGAGTGGTTAGTGTATGTGCATAGTTCATCACATATCTCTGATTCGGCCAAGAGGAGCACTGAGAAAGTCAATTGCAAAGGACCAGGGCAGTACTTTTAACACTTGAAGGTTAGTCTTTTCCAATAAGTACTCTCTTTCATCATCTATTTAGTAGTCTACAGGGCCTGACATGTCTGCTGGGAGCCTAACAAAGATTCTGTTATCAGCTACAGTGTAAGATTGTTAGCAGCTTGCCGGCCCCAATAGGTGAGCTCAATCTTCTTCCCTTTGTAGAGTTAAGGGCTCCTTTTGGGGTCTACTGCCCAACCTCCATGTGGGATCTTTGCCACAGAGACTGGTACTCATAATCCCTTCCTGTGGCCAGGATAAAAAAGAATTTTATTTATTTATTTTTGTGTAGAAGAGCTGGGTGTAAGCCAGAATTGTAGGGATAAGAGGACTCACCAGAGACAGAGTGGGGAGTACAGCAGAGTTTACTAAAAGACACTGCCAAGGGGAGCAGTGGTCAAGACAGGAGAGGTCTGTGAACCATGTGGGTCAGCTCCTTGGCTGGGGAGCGAACTCAGACCACAGCAGTGGTGGTGCAGAGACCTAACCCCTACACCACCAGGGAGGCTCCAGGACACACTTTCTTAAGTTTAACTTTTGATCATCACAACTTTTACCTGTGGGAGAAATTCTCCTTATCTTTTTTGAAAGATTTATTTATGTATGTATATAGAACTGGAGTATAGGCCAGAGGTACAGGGGCAGTGAGAGGATTCACCAGAGACAGAGTGGGGAGCAGAACAGGAAGGTGGACAAAGTACACTGCTGAGGGGAGCAGTGGGCGGGTCAGGAGAGGTCTGCCACGCCATGTGGTCGCCTCTGGGGCAGGCGGGGATTGAACTCATGCTGAAGCGGCTTTAACTTCTTAGTGCTGTGTTTTAACCTGCTGTGCCACCAGAGAGGGCCTCTCCTTATCTTTTAATGACTTACAGAGAAGCCTGTCTAGCTACTAAGTGAATTCACTATTTTTCAAATTTCTGGCTGCCATCTGAGGGCTCCACATTAGTAGGAAATATGGTTTTCTTCTTACCTGGCATCAGCCCAAGTGTAATCTGGCATGAGCTGACAGTTGGATGGGATTGTTATCAGTAGTGCTTGGTAAGTGGTATTTCCTAGTCTCATATGATCCCATGAGGTCCACTCAGGTAGTTAGTCTTCTAGGATCCTGACCAGAGCCAAAGTGGGTCTAGAATGTCACGGAAAGCTTCAGCAAAGCTCATGATCAAGGTTTGCCCTTCATCTGCTCCAGAAATGAAATATAAACTACAGCAATGGAGCCAAGAGCACAGCAGGATGAGAACTGCCTGTTTTGTACTCTGCTGCCTCTGGAATTCTGCAACTATTTTCTTTTGTTTCTTTTAAACCTAGCAGTTCTCACCAGACCCTCTTCCTTTATGAAATAGCTCGTTACATATAGAGTTTCCACTAAAGTTGACAATAAAAACACTCTCAGAAAAACTGAAAATTTGACACAGTAATCCCCATGAAATCAGTTTCCCAACTTTTCTATATTCTCACAATCATGAGGTACCTGGCATTCCTGAAGTCTATGGTGAAGCCAATAGAAATTAAGCCATATATATCTCAGAAATGTCAAAGCTGATTTTTTAACTCCTTAACTCCTTAAAACCAATAGTTTTTTAACTCCTTAAAACCAATAGTTGATTAAAAAAAAGAAGTAACTTTAAAAGTACCAATATTTCAGGCCCTCCCTGGTGGTGCAGTGGGTTAAAGCACAGCACTAAGAAGCTAAAGCCACTTCTGCATGAGTTCAATCCCAGCCCTGGAGGTGACCACATGGCACAGCAGACCTCTCCTGACCCACCTGCTACTTTCCTAAGCAGTGTACTTTGTCGATCTGCCTGTTCTGCTCTCCACTCTGTCTCTGAATTCTCTCACCACCCCTGTACCTCTGGGCTATACCCCAGTTCCGTATGCACAAATAAATCTTTAAAAAAAAGAAGTATCAATATTCAATTAACCAGGAGTTCCCCTTCCTTGACAACTTAAAATGTCACTAAATACAGAGTGATAACAAACTGCTGTTTTCCCATGGAGGAGAAAAGAAGGAGGGACACTGACTTTTTGCTTTATACCAGGAACTCTGTAAGGTGCTATCAAGTATTCTAATCTTCCTCAGGTCCTTGCAAGGCAGGAATTTTATTTTTATATTTTTATTATAAATATTTCTAATTTAATGAATGTTAAAAAATAACATATACCTATGTTCTTGTCATCAGTTTTATCAAATCTTTTTTCCTTATATTTATTTTTTACATCATTCTTCATTTTGTACATTTTTCCATCTCAGTTGTAGTCCCCGTGGGCTTCCCACCATCAAATCACCCGTGTACCATCATTATAGTCCTGTGCCCTCTTTCCATCCCAGTTTTTATCCCATTCCCTTTCCACCCCATACCATGTCTCAGGTTTACATTTGTTCGTTGTTCTCATTTTTACTTTATTATATTTGCTTCTCTCTGTGAGGCAGGAATTTTAGCCCCTTTGTAGAGACACAAGAAACTTGAGTCTCAGGTCGAGTCAGGATTACAGTACTGAGAGGCTGGGACAAGATTCAAATAGGACGAGTGGATGCCAATACCCAGCTGCACTTAATGACAGCAAACTGTCTGAAGAGTGATAATCAGGCAAGGGAATCATGACTTTTGAAAGATAGGAAGATCCCAGGCCTTTAGTTAGACTCTCAATATTAGGCAAATAATAGTCTTTGCAAAGGCCTTAAATATTTTTCTCTCCCAAAGACATCAGGATGAGCTTTGGTTCTAGTATTGAGACAACAGGACTTTCTGGAGAAGAGACCTTGTTGCCTGGCAAAAAGGAACCTGCAGCTGGTTGGTTTTCAGGCCTGAACCACCCTCCCCTCCCTTCTGTAAGAATCCCGAGAAAATCTCACTCTTCCTCAGGAACTTTTAGAAGCACAGCTGGGCTTTTCTTACCTTCAGAATCTGGTCCCCTTCTTGAAGGCCCTCTTGCTCAGCCGAGGTTCCCTCTTGAATGCCAGCCACAAATATTCCCACATCATTGCCACCAGCCAAGCGGAGGCCCACACTGTCTCCTTTCTTAAATTTCACCATTTTGGTATTGGGGCTGAGATACCAAAGAGAGGTGGAGTTTAGTTTTTTTGAGGGGGTTAAAAAAATGGCCACTGAGAGATTTAACTTTTTCTATATAGTATGTACTTTAAAGAATGCCCACATTTTTTTTCATGTGATCTATAATTTTATCTTCCTTGGGGCTATGAGGTAAATATGAGCTGGCTTACTTTACCAGTGAAGAAACAGAAACAGAGATGCTCATTCAATGATTAGGAAGCAAATAAAGGACAGGGTTAGGGCTAAAATCAAGGCTATCTGACTCTCAGTTTGGGATTCTTCAAAGTCTGCCGCCACCATCACAGGGTCCCTGGTCAAATGGAGACACAGCCTGGGTGCACAGATGCTGGACCCTAGTTTGGGGCCACTGCTCTGGACAGTGAACTAAGAGTTTTCACTATTACATGCAGCAAACAGGATGTAGTTTACTACTACTATTACTACTACCACTACTACTGCAACACTGTGCGGGAATAATTGCAGGAATAATCTAGCAAATGCAAATACTTACAACAACATTCTAGAAAAGTACTAAGCAAAGGAGACAACTGAGTTAATTATCACAACGTTCATTCACTTCCATGGTTTTAATTTTCCTGCTAATGCTTTCTCTTTCTACATACCCATATATGGCTTCATCTTCAGCACTAGGACGAAGAAATGTTCTTGGGGCTGTTTTTGATTGAGAGGCTATGGATTAAAAAACATGTATGTTTATCAAAAAAAATTGTTTATCAACCTGGACTCATAGAAGTTTGTCTATTACTATTACTATTAATTAATAAGAATTTTAATCAGTATTAAAATCCACAAAAAATTCAAGTTTGTACCTTATATGTACACATGTCATCATGCAAACAAAAACAAGCTTTTAAAAGAAAGTTTAACTCTGAGGCATTAATGTGTACCAATGGTTTCTCAAAACAAAGGGGAAGTGAATCTCAAAAATGTAAGGTGCATAACCACATACACAGAAGAAGGCATTTTGTAGAACTTCAAAAATCACACAAATAATGCTGTTTTTAAAAGTGCAATGTTTATGCAGGTAAAACCATGATAATTGTAAAGTGGTAAAGACGGCTAGGAGGATGGGGTGATGTATTTATTATTTTCTAACTGTGTATTTATTATGTTTCTGTTTTAACTGAGGTAACACTGGGTTACAACACTGCATGATTGGAAGTAGAAGATCGCATCTTGGTATATGTTACCATACCACACTCACTACATATTTAACCTCTGTTCTAGGTTTCTGGGAGGCTGCTCCTAAGATCCTAGAAATTTCAAGTGTGTCTCCTCTATGCAAGTGATGACTGATGCCTAGGAAGGGACACCAGACAGACCAAAGAATGATTTGAGGTTAGAATTTTCAACCACCCCTTCCTCTAAGCTTTGGAGAGTAGAGATGATGGGAATTGAGCCAGGTCACCAATGGTCAATGACTGATCAATTGTGCCCTCATAGTGAGAACTCCATAAAACCCTGAACCAAGTTCTGAGCTTCTTGGTTTGGGACAGATTGAGGCACTGGGAAGGGCATGCACCTTCAGAAGACATGGAAGCTCTATACTCTTTCCCCAGGCCTTGCTCTTTCTTCAGTTATTCATAAATTATATCCTTTAAAAAAATCTGGCATAATAAGTAAAGTGTTTTCTTACTGTTGAGTTCTGTAAGTCATTCAAAATAATCAAATAATCAACCCTGAAAAGTAGCTCAAGGAAATCCCAGATTTACAGTGGTTGGTCAGAAGCATAGGAGGTGACCAAAGTCTGGCATCAAAAGTGGGGAGACTTATGAGAATGGTCCTTAACCTGTGAGGTCTCTGGGTAGTCAGTGTCAGATGTGAACTGAGTGATAGGCTACCTAGTCAGTGTCTGGAGAATTCTAGAACTTATTAGTGAGTGGAAGAAAACTTCTCATTTAATGTCAGGAGTGTTGTGAGTCGAAACAATTCAGGCTGGATCAGGAATGGGAAGCAAAAGGACACCAACTCATCAAATATAATAAAATAGGCCTTATTTTTGGCTTATAAAAATTTTCAGTATCAAAAGAGAAACAAGCAGCAGTCCCTCCTTTGCAGACTCCTTCCAGCCTGCTTCCAGCGTTACCAAGTATGGATTCCTGAACACAGCTATTTAAAATGCACCTCACCTGAGGGTTCATCTTGGAGTCGGGGCTCCTTGCTGGACTCAGGGCCGACTGCAGCAACAATGTCCCCAGTGGACTTGAATGGAGTGGGTGTGGCGCCCATCCTGCACCATCTGTCCTCTCTTGAACTTAAGCACACATCATGTTAATGTCTCACAATGTAACAGACTCACAAAAAGGTGTGTGTGTGCGTGTGTATGCGTACAGTGAGGTGTGCAAGGGGAAATACACATTAGCTTACTTTGGCCTTTCCTTCAGCTTTTCATTTGAAGAATGATAATCACAATCAGAATGCTGCTGCTGTCTCTCCTCTGGAGAAAACGATCGGTTTGACTCTATTTCTGAGATATCTGGTTTCAGAAATAAGAAAAGACTTAATAAAATATTTAAGACCTGCACCAGAAGTTATACTCTTCTCTGGGTAAGAAACATGGGAAATGGAAGAGAAGCTGACACTAAAAGTGCTATTAGTCTAATTATTTTCTCTTAGGGGAAAAAAAATCCGATCATTTGAAGGGAAAGGCATGAATTAATAAAGAGGAAGTTAAATTCAGAATTTTAGGCTCTTCTTTCCCCACGTTTTCTAACAATATTGCTAGTAAGAGTCAGAATAAATTACTGGATCCAATATGTCCATGCTCGTATTTATCACACCGACCAGTGCTTCTCAAGCTCTAATGTATGTATATATGACCGGAAATGACAGAATGCAGTTCTGGAGCGGGGCCTGAGATTCTGCAGTTCTATCAAGCTCTCAGGTGACACTGAAACTGTGGGTGGACTGAGACCCTCACTGTAAATAGCAAGGAAATAAATGATAAGATCCCAACATGCCGGATTATTTCTCATGCTCCTTTTACCTGCACTATACTCACAGCAGTAACCAACTGATTATATTTTTGATGCTATGGAAAGTAAATTAGGTTTTAAAACATTATCCTTTTAAAAACCAACAAATCCGGCCCTCCCTGGTGGCGCAGCGGGTTAAAGCGCAGCACTAAGAAGCTAAAGCCACTTCCGCATGAGTTCGATCCCCGCCTGCCCCGGAGGAGACCACATGGCGTGGCAGACCTCTCCTGACCCGCCCACTGCACCCTCAGCAGTGTACTTCGTCCATCTGCCTGTTCTGCTCCCCGCTCTGTCTCTGGTGAATCCTCTCACCCTCCGCATCTCTGGCCTGTACCCCAGTTCTGTATGAATAAATAAATAAATCTTTAAAAAAAAAAAAAACAACCAACAAATCCTTGGTGATAGGAAGCCCACGGAGATAACAGATGAGATGGAAAAAGGTACAAAATGATGTAAAAATAAACTATTAAAAAAAATCCTTTAAACTTTTGAGGAGCTGACACATATGACCTCTCCAATCTGACTCTCTGCTCCCTTACAGGGTTATTTCAGTAAATCCTCCTTTTCTATTCTCCAGATGACTGACTGATTGATTATAGATAGATAGATAAAACTTTGTGAAGCTGATCTCTTCTAACTGCAATCAATACTAGCAGCAGAAAAATAGTCATTTGTGATTTTTACAGATTTCACTTATCAATTATTTTAGGTGTAAGTCATATGCAACCACTGAATATCACAATATTCAATCCTTTTGATTTTTAGAGTGTCTACTTGCTTTAGCTATCCTCTATATTGCCTTCTCTGTTGGAAATAGCCAATAACCTCTTAAAATAACCACATGAAAGAGAAAGTATAAGAACGAGCAATTTAGGAATGTTTCAGAGATAGTTCTTTGAACCCCTCCTATATACATTTTTTCACTAACAAGTTTAGTTTTAGTTGCCTAGAGTCCACTGAGATTATAATTTACAAGTTAGGAGAATGCTGGAATTTCAAACTGAAAACTCAATTTCAACAATTTGATAAGAAAAGTAACAACCCAACAGTTAACTTTTGGAATTGGGAGTCTAGAAGAGAAACTTTCTTTAGAAATTTAACTGCTAGCGGGCTGGATGGCTATGATAACTAAAGATGAGACCATGGCCATAACAGCCTTCCTTGTTTCCAGCTAATTCTCAGCCTCTTCTCTCTTTACCTTCTATTTCGGAGTCACTGTCATTCAGCGATGGGATGTTGATGAGTGTCTGCTTGCTGTCTCTCAACACCACTAGCTGGAGTTTTCCCCTTGACTTTTCTATCAGTTTGCGAGCATCCGTTAAAGACATATTCTCAGTTACGGTTCCATTTATCTGTGTTTATAAAAAACAAGATAGTACTGTATGCAATACAGCTATTCACAGCAAAACAGGGAATTCTTGTTCTACCTTTCCAAAATGTAAAAGTGTCATGCAACTAGTCAAATAGACACAGGTTTTCTGATGACTGCCTGAATAAAAATGAATTATCCTTTAAATTATATATAACCCTATGTGCTTGGATCCCAAATGCTGGCATGAGAGATCTGTAGTGTACTTAAGTTACTGTTAATTTATTTAACTTCCAAGCTCAAGACGATGGCTTGGTTTACCACTGGAACATGTTTCTTGACCGGAGAGGTTTACAAAAACGATTAAATATTCAACATTCATATACCACCAACTCTCCCTCTCATCTTTCTTTAGTTTAGAGAATAGGAGCTTAAACATTAAATAAACAAAGAAGAAAAAAGTATTCATTGACATCTTTAAAAATGAAACAAACCAAAAAAACAAAACAAAACAAACCCATACCATTTATTACCAATCTCTAAGTCTGGCTTTTCTATAAAATTTTCTCAGTTGGCTGGTTTTCCCAGCCGACACCCTTCCAACAAAGTCTGACTAGTTTGCACTGGCATACAGCCCACAAACCAAGCATGAAAGCACTGCTCTCTCACTACCCTTTGCCCTGGCCCACCCACCTTGAGAATGATGTCCCCTTCATGCAAGTTGCCATCTTTAGTTGCCAGACCTGTTCTGGTCATTTCCTTTATGAAGATCTGACTTCCAAGCCTGAGGCCATACTCTAAGAGACAAACATATAAACATACATATTTCACCAACCTGTTCTGAAAACTTAAAATATTTATGAAAGATTAATTTTACATATGGGATATTTTATACGACAACAACACTATATAAAACAAAAAAGTCAATGTCATGAAAAAGAGGCAGATAAAATGTTCTTGATAAAAAGACACTAAAACCCAAATGCCTGAACTGTCCCTAGATGGATGAACCTAAGTGGAGGTGGGAATGGTTATAATTCTGAGCAACTTCAAAATGAAGTTATTAAAAAAGATAATCATGTTAATTTTCTTAAGTGGGATAATGGCACCATAGCTATGCAGGAGAATGTTCTTAATCCTAGTAAGATATCTGCTTAAATATGCAATGGTAAAGGGTCACATTTCCTACAACTTATAAGTTGTTCCCAAAACCCATGTGGGGGTGGGGGGGTGGGGAAGAGGGAGAAAGTGAAGATAGAAGAGGAAGAGACAGCAAATGTTGCAAGATGTTAACACTTGGTAAAACTAGGTGAAGGCTCTATGAGTATCTGCTATAAAATTACTCTTTTCAAAATAAAATGTTGGGAGAAAGACCAGCTCAGTACATCTTAATAAGCTTGTTCTGCTGATAATGCAGTTGCCTTCAGGAAGACCCTGCAAATAGCCTAGCCTTCATCTGTAACAATGTAGACTAGTGTTAAAAAAAAATGCAGTGTGTAGAAAGGGGTAAATAAGTCAGGCAAAGTGATAAAAGTATTTAACCAAAGCCAGAATTGCTTTTGGAGGTTTTAACTTTGGAGGTTTGAACTTTGTCTTTCAAAATTAAAACACTGAATATACGAATACTGTATTGTATTGTAAAAATGTTTTGTATTAATACATTAATTACTTCCAATATTATTAAGACTATTTTGATCTTATTAAATCTGTAAAAATGTGTATTTTAAGGATGATGTTGGATGATTTTAAAAAGTTCTAACAACCTAGCTGGTTTTAAAAGAGGCACAAATCTCATGAGAGTTCTGGAATGAAAATCTTGTAGTTACAAAACAAACTAATATTCTACCATTTGAAAAGTTATGGAGTAGATTTAAAGATGCTTTAGTGATGGCAGCAAATTAGATCCAGATCTCATACAATAACGGAGTGTTGAAGTCTCCTCCCATCCCCTTTGGGAAGCTGATGCTTAGGACAGAGAAGGGGTAAGTTTGCATCTTCTTTCCTGGATGGCAATTCCCCATGGCCTAACACTCTCACAGTCCAGGACAGAAAGCAAAGACAAGTGTGAGTTAGAACTTCTTTCTCGTGCATCAACAATTCCTCTAACCTCTTAAAAACTAGTCTTATAAGCTTATGAACAGATTTTATTAGCCTTTATGTAGATATCAAAAAACAAAGAAAAAAATCAGTTAACAAGTTTCTAAGATATTTACCAGCAATATTTGGTGTCCATGAAATGTAATAGCTGGCCGTATGAAAGATTTGTCTTTTTCTTAATGAAATGTAGACCTTTGCCCAAAGCCAGATTTCTTCAAAGGTTGATATATACCTCTAGCCAGTAATAGAAAAATAGCCTCAAGACAGGATAAGCCTCTTTTTCTCTTAATAGCATTACTAAGACCACATGTGGACTTGGATAGTCTCTTAGAACAATTTATGGGTCACAACCAGTTAGGGAGTCCTGAAATCAATTTAATGAGTTGCAATCATCACTTTTAAATTTAGTGTAATAGAACTCCTCATGCATCACAGAGTATTTTCCATGAAATATGTGTTCAGGTTTCAGACATTTAGGTACATTCATAATCACAAGATGTGGTTCTTTCTGTCCCAGAAGGTAGTAAGGAAGAAATGGGGGGAAGAAAACAAAAGCAAGGAGTTAAAGTTCCTCTAAGCGCTGCCTGAGATAGCTCTCTTGAGGTGCACATCCACTGAATGGGCATGAGACCTTCTAAAGGAGGCCTTATATCAAGCTATCTTTCTCAAAATCTCTCAATCAGGAAGCAGAATGGCTTTTATTCCACAATTCTTGGGGGGTAATGAGTTAATATGTCACTATCAATGGTTATAAAGCTTTAGAGACTCCTACAGCCTCCTAAGATGTACATTCCCCAGAGCTACTACAATCCTAACTTTGACCTTAATTTTGTGAAAAATTAAGCTGGATTCCAGCTATCTCATTACTCACATCTTTGCATGATTCTTTGGTTATTTCAACAGGTACCTTGCTCTGTAACTCAACTCCTTGCACTCCCCTAGAAGCACCAGAGGAAACAAACTCACTCATCTGATAAGCTATTTTAATTATAATTCCAAAAGAGCAGTGTTTTTCACTTTGCATTCTTGAGTGCTCTTAGTCTCCTTTCCTTTTTGAAGGAGAATAATTAGAAAACAAAAGGAGAGAAAAGATACATTACAAAGAACTTAAGTCAGAAGCCAAGTGTCAATGTGCAGAATAAATCACACTGGGCTTTAAGGCCCTGTTCTCCTCCTGGTCCCCTTCCCTCTATTTACCGAGACCAGTTTGAATTCTAAATCCTCCATTTACTTATTAGCTTCAAAAGGTAAGTGGGCTGCATTTGTTGGCCTCTGACTCTCAAAATTCTCATCTATAAACTTCAGGTACAACTTGCTTCCAAAACTTTAGATGTAATTAAGTGTGCACAGGGACTGAAAATATATGGATGGCACAGCCCAGATCAGAGCCATCTCACCCAGTGGCATCAAAACCTCTGTGCCTTAACATGCCCACCTGTACACAGGAATGGTGTCTCCTGTCTTCTGGTGAGGACTGAATGAAACTATTTACCGAGCACAGGCCCTGGCACAGAGCAAAATTCAATCAAGATAAGCTGAAGTACTGTTCTCTGGTACAGTTTCATCAATTTAAAATACCCCAGGCCCACCAAAAGAGCTTGTTAACACACAAGCTCCAGGTGCCCAATGGTGATTCTGAGTCAGTGGGGCCTGAGATGCTGCATATCAAAGAGTGGTACTTAGTGCTGTGTGTGGAATGGTAATGGGGGGGGGGGGGGGGGAAGGGGGAGGGGGTCCCAGGAAAAGGGGAGATTCCAGGTTCCCTGCCCCACAAAGAAGGAAGATGGAGCTGAGCAGGGAGAATATGGAGAAGAGACTGAAGAGGAGGGAAGCAGGTTGGAGAGCCAGAAGGAGACCTGAAGAAGGCACGATTGGAACAGAGAAGTGTGCAGAATCTTTCTCGTTTCTTGGTCCAGGACTGTTGAAACAAATGTGCCATGGGAAGGTTGACTATGGCAGTGTTTTTCTTGATTTTGATTTTGCTCTGTTCCTCCCAGACTTGTCTGGCCATTTCTGACCCTTTTCTATGGGTCCCCGCCAGAAGGTGCTTTAGACTAGTGGCAGGCTTGCAGGCCTTGCTTTGGGCCAATCCCTTTTGGGTGGACTTTTACCCACAAAGGGGATGGGTAACTTGGGGTGTCTGATTTGTCTTTGTCTTTTCTGTACTGAACACTAATTAATTGTATTAAAGTTCCTATATGCTTTGTCTTGATGTGGCAGATAGCAGAACCTATTTGGAGCAGGCAGTTTTGGGGTTCAGTGGTGCCTCTCTCCCTGCTCTGCGACAGAACCACTGGCCTAGCAGTTTAAGGCTAAATTTCTGCAGCCCATTCAAGTTCAATTTGAGAGTCAATAAACTTTTCTGTGCCTCACCCTTCCTTGTCTATCAAACCAAGGTGTAAGAGTAACATCCCCATGAGGCAATTGTGAGGGTGAAAATGAGATAAACCACACACAACATTTAGGTCAGTGCTTGGAGCATGAAAAGTCCTGGATAAGAGTCAACAATTGTTACTACAAGTGTGTTTTCATTCATCAAGTATGACTACCTTCATTTGCTTTGCTCTTCATCAGAAGAACTCCGATGGGCCTGTCTGGGTCAGACTGGCCGGCGTGGCCAGGCCGCCCCCTCAGCTCAGGGCTGGGGCTGCGGGAGTGGAGCTGCTCACGACTGCGGCTCCTGGACACCTCGTACCGGGTTTGGTGCTGGGCCCTGCGGCTATACTCCACCTCCGGGCTGTAGGCCCGGTCATAAGCCGGGTCATAGTCGATGCTTCGGCCGCGGCTCCGCTCCCGGGCTCGCCCGTAGTCATCCCGGTCAAGGCCCCGCTCCAGGCTCCGGCCGCGGCTACGCTCTTGCTCTCGGTAGTCGTCATGATCCAGGCCCCGCTCCAAGCTCCTGCCGCGGCTGCCGGAGGGTCCAGGCCGTGATCTCGCCCTCTCTGGGCTCTCGTCCCAGCTGCGGCTGCGCTCACCATGGCTGCGCCGGCTCCTCTCGCTGTATCCGCTGTGTGCACTTCTGCCATCAAACTCATCTATCACCTCAAAACCCCGGTCATCCTCATCCACTGGATGGTTGCCCTGTGGAGGGGCCAGCTGGACCTTCCGGGGCCTCTTGACCACCTGTCACCAAAATAATAAGCACAGTGGCAACAAAGGACAATCAAAATCAAAAATGGAGTATTTAGCGGCTAAGAAGCCTGTTCTCATTTTAATAAAATTGCCAGTTCCTCACAACTTCCAAGCTGTGGTTCTTCCTCTGATAATCAGGGCACCAAATGCCTCTCACTGAGCTGAGAGCAAATTAAGACAATGAGTATTAAGTTCTCAACATAGGGCCTCCCAACGAGCCAATAATAAGAGAATCTCCCAGACTTCTTTCTACTCAGGATACAAAAAGCACCAAGGGACTTATTAAAAATCACGTGATAGGCCCTCCCTGGTGGCTCAGCAGGTTAAAGCACAGCACTGAGAAGCTAAAGCTACTTCCACATGAGTTCGATTCCCACCTGCCCCGGAGGTGACCACATGGTGTGGCAGACCTCTCCTGACTCGCCCGCTGCTCCCCTCAGCAGTGTACTTTGTAGATCTGCCTGTTCTGCTCCCCGCTCTGTCTCTGGTGAAGCCTCTTACCCCCCCTGAGCCTCTGGCCTGTACCCCAGTTCTGTATGAACAAGTAAATAAATCTAAAAAAAAAAAAAAATCACGTTATAAAAATGGAAATGCAGATTCTTCCAAAAGTCAATGATAGTGAAAAGGAAGATGGGGGAGGGAGGAGGAAAGCTTTCTTCCAGATTAAAGAAACTAAAGAGGTAAGAACCAGTGAGTAGACTTTGATTTGATTCTGGGTGGAGAAGGAAAGAGTCTATCAAAGACACTTGGGGCTATGGTTTGGATATTAAGTGATATTTTATAATTATTATTAATTTTCTGAGATATAATAATAGTAGTGTAGCTAGGCTGAAATATGTCCTCATTTAGTACACAACTGAAGTAAGCAGCGTTGAAATGCGGTGTCCAATTTTCCCTTCATATTGTTCACTAAACGGTTATTTATATACACAGAAAGCTCAAGTAGAGATGGCAGAATATTATCATTATAGAAGGTATGTGTTTATTACACTAATTTTTGAATTTTTCTTTCTTCATAATATGAAGTTAAAAACAAACCCCATTGGGGAAAAGAAACAAACAAAAAAACCAAACCCCATTGGCCAGTCCATCTCCCTAGCACTGTCTCCTAGGAAATTCTATTAAGATAACAACTTGTCTCTGGACTATGGTGATAGCACATGGGTGATTTGGTGAAAAATGCACAAAAAATATGTAAAAAATAAACTATTATAAAATTTTTTTAAAAAAGATACAACCCGTTCAGACCTTTCCAAATAAGGTATTTTGTGCTGAAGCTGTTTTTCTAAATTAGTGCTGTTTAACCTGTGTTCTTAATCCAGTTAATGCTCTGGGGGTCTAACCTGGCTCTGAAGGCAAACTCAGTCAGATCAGAGAATCATTGGTCTTAAGTTAGGAGGAAGAGGAAAAAGAAGAGAGTAATATATTACTTGCATACATCTTTGTAGCAAAACATCTGTCAAAAAAAAAGCAAGTGGTAATTTTCTTCTAGGCACAAAAACAAAATGCTACCAAGGAGAGCTGGACGCAAACCTGGCACTTACAATAGCAGCAATCTTCCCAGTATTTCTCAGCTGCTGAACTGCAAATGAATGGAGCACATTTTCCATGGAGGTGCCGTTAACCATGACCACCCTGTCATTTTCTCTGCAAACAACAAATAAAAAAATAATACTGAAAAACTCCCCATCTATTCACTGCCAATCGTTAATATAAGAACAAACAGAAGCAGCAAATGGCCCTATCATGCTACTGAAGGACTGTGTGTTGACTCCCTAAGGTTACTCAGCCAACCCAGTTGGCCTCTCCTGGGGAAGCCACTCAGCACATTTTCTGATAGCTATTACTGGAAACCAGCTAAGGACAAGGGCCCAAACCACAGGGTCCCCTTGGAGACAATAACAAGGTCTGGGCATGAAAGGAATTCTGCATCAGACCCCCTCACCTGACACGCACCACAGGCTTCAATAGTCTGTTGCAAATACACCAGAGTAAGTATACTTCTCCCTGTGCTTCTTTTTGGAGGGGAAAAGGTTGCTTCATATCTCTTTAAGAAATCTGGGTTTTACAACATTCTCTTTCTTTATCTCATCCCCAACGTTATTTTACAATTCTACATTGCACTCTATGTAAAACACTACTAATTTGGATAGAAATTTGAAATACCAGAAGAACCTCAACTTTTGAGGCAGCTAGACAAATAGTCTTAGAGTCTGCCCTGAGAAATTATTTGGGGGAAACCCAGGCATGTGTCATTTAAAAAGGCATTATATCTCCAGACCAGAAGGCTAGCAAATACAAAACCCATGTATTCATGTAGAGAATTTCTCATAAATCAGATAATCACTGAACCAGAATATCCTCATTAAAATTTTTAAAAAATTTATTTATTTATGCATACAGAGCTGGGGTGAAGGGGCAGCGAGAGGATTCACTAGAGACAGGGCGGAGAGCAGAACAGGCAGATCGACTAAGTACACTGCAGAGAGGAGCAGCGGGTGGGTCAGAAGAGGTCTGTTGTGCCATGTGGATCACCTGCCTGGCCGGGGCTCAAACTTGTACTAAAGCGGCTCCAGCCAGCTTCTTAGTACTGCACTTTAAACCATTGCAGCCATTGCGCAAAGGGTTAAAACGCACCACTGCAAGCAAGCCACAGCAGCTTCAGTATGAGCTTGATTCCCACCCGGAGGTGAACCACCTGACTCTGCAGACCTTTCCTGATCTGCCCGCTGCTCCCCTCAGTAGCGTACTCCATTGATCTGCCTGTTCTGTTCCCCACTCTGTCACTGGCGAATCCTCTCATTGTCCCTCCACCTCTGGCCTGCACTCCAGTTCTGTATGAATTAAAAAAAAAATTAATGATTATAAATTAAAATTAACATTGATAACATACAGCATTGAGTAGGTACTGGGGTAGAAAAGTAGGGAGTGAAGCAAGTCAATTTTATACCCAATATTCATGGATGATTCCCAAGCCCTGGGCTTTTAGTTATGACAGTGTCTCCCAATGGAAAAGACTATTCTCCTTCCAAAGTGCAAATGTTCCTAAAGCTTTGGGTATTGTTAAAATATGGTGTATTGAGGTTTCAAATCCCACAGAAAGACATTTCTACATATAAAGTGTTTTCTTTTAAATGAAAATTTTTTTAACTTCAAAAGTGAACATCACCCAAAGCACCCTGTCTTGTGCCCACCAGCAGAGAAGGCAGGAGTTGGGGGCAGGGAGGTGAACACTCACTGAAGCAGCCCATCAGCGGGCCCACCCTGGAGCACATCAGAAATGACGATTGACGTTTCTCCATTTTCGAAGTGAGGGTTGTCTCTGCCTCCGGATACTGCAATTCCAAATCCTCTTTCAGGATGCTGTTCATTGGTGATGAGAGAAAAATACAAAAATCCTTCCATACATGGGCTTTCAGGATTTATTACAAGCACTCAATAAAATAAAAGGCAAGCCAATAGTGAGGGACAGTTCAGGAACAGAAGGCTTACAGAAACAAATGAGAAGAAAATAAAGCCTCATCCCAGTTAGCTGGCAGGTTTATAAAGGGAAATTCCTTATCTTACAGAAACAGCCTTGTAAAAGCTGAAAAAGATTAATAGTACAGACTGAAACAATCAGCAGAAGCTGGCAAGGAGTGGAAAATAATGACTTTTGCCCAAATTGGATGTGATATTCTAATCATAAATTGCACCTATCCTTAGCATACTGACCTGAGCTGGAAAACCTCAGATACAACTGAACTGTGCTAATCCGTATTTTTAAAATATACCTTTTAACTTCAAATTAGGTGAGCTGGTGGTTTCACTTTAATATAGGGCAAAAAAAAAATCATTGCATTTTAAAAACAAAAATATTAAATCTGAACACAGATTTAGTGTTCAGAGAACAAAGCATTAAACTCTTTCCTACATAGGGTCCTGTCCATATAAGAGAGGAACTATAGGTTAATGAGATTAATTACATCCATGATTTGTCTAACAGAGAACTTAGATAACACATAATCCTAATTAATTTCAATGTTTAAAAAAGCTAAGTTCCAGGACCTCCCTGGTGGCTCAGGGGATTACAGCATAGCACCATGAAGCTCTCTGCAGCCACTGCAGCACAAGTTCAATCCCCAGCCAGGGAGGTGAACACATGGTGTGGCAGACCTCTCCTGTCACACCCACTGCTCCCCTAGCCAGTGTGTTTCAGTAGATCTGCCTGTTCTGTTCCCTGATCTGTCTCTGATGAGTCCTCTTATCCCCCACACCTCTGGCCTGCACCCCAGTTCTTGTGTGCATAAATAATCTTTTTTTTTTTTAATCTTTTATTTATTCATACATAACTTGGGTTACAGGCCAGAGATGCAGAGGGTGAGAGGATTCACCAGAGACAGAGCAGGGAGAAGAGCAGGCAGATCAGCGTAGTACACTGCTGAGGGGAGCAGCGGGCGGGTCAGGAGAGGTCTGCATTGCCATATGATTCTCCTCGGGGCAGGCAGGGATCGAACTCATGCAGAAGTGGTGTTAGCTTCTTAGTGCAGTGCTTTAACCTGTTGCGCCAGCAGGGAGGGCCCCTTTGTGGAACTTTTAATCCCTCTAAGTGAATAAGACTTTTGCGGCTCACAAAAATCATAGCAATGCTGACCAGAGCTTGACAGACAGCTGCTTCAGAAGCATCAGTATAGCTCAAGTCTAGCTCAGGTGCACAAAAATTACTCTCAAATTCTTGGTAGTGAAGCTTATTTCCAGCATGGCTCCTACTTGCCATGTCTACCTTGTACTTTACTCAGAATAGAAGAGGGTGGAGCTAGTATCTATTAGGCAACATTTATCGGCCAAACCCACTGTTCTGGAAGCCATTTAATGAGAGGGGGCAAAATCTGTGAGGTAACTTTAACAGTGAAGTAAAATACATTAATATGTAGTACTTAGTCCCGCTGGAGGAAGGGGACATTTCGTGATTAATTGAACACCGTTTTATATATTAGGACTGGGGTAAAGAATTCAGCCCACATCGCCTACAGGAACACTTTTAAATTAAGCGTGGACTTAAAACTCACTGCAGGAGTGATATATGTGATGTAATTAAAATAATAAAAGTTACAGAAGCTACTTGAATGTCCTTAAATAATCCACTCCTCTCCATTTTCACTTTTTTTCAGTAACTGCTGTCTGAAAAATAGGTGAAGGCACTCAATTAACTTCTGAAACTTTCTACATTATAAAACTTTACCAAATACTAAAATAGTGTGGAAATTTTTGTTAACATGGTAATTATCACCAACTCTCACCTATGTCATCAATCACTCCAAGGGGAAAAACTGTGTTTAGGAAAAATAAGTAAGATCCAAGACTGTAAGTTCAAGAACACAACTGTAGCATAAATGTAATGTGAAACACTCACCCTCTGTAGGGTCACAGTATACTGCTCCCATATCAGTTCTTCCATGCCTGGGGCCTGTTTTAAAACAAGCAGAACAAACCTGATTAACACCACATCAATGCCAGAAATAAAAGCATAATTCAAAATACCTTAATATAAAGTCTAGCTCACATATTCTACATACCAAAAAATTGGTATTTTTTTTTTTTAGGAATATTAAGCTACATACTCTCCCTTCAATAAATGGCAATCTGAACAAGACTAGAAAATTCATGAAGTCACAGCAAGAGACATACCCTTAAAAAATGAGTATCAAGTTTTGAGTCCTTTTACTATCACCACTGCAAAACAGTCATAATAAATATCATTTTTTAAAAAATCTAGATAGTTTCAAACATATTTATAAATTTTTTTAAGTCATTCGCCTCTCTTCTGTGAAAGTTGACCTTCAAAGCAAGACACCTGTGACTTTATCACAAACAATGCCCAATGAAGGAAGGATCCCTTTCCTTCACTTGTTCCTCACATGTCTCTCTTTATGTAGAAGAAAATGCCTGCATAAAACCACCACCAAAGCTTCACTTTATGACAATATTCCAAAACAGATGTTTGGAAAACTTGAAAATGGGGGACATCATTTTAAAAATAATAATAATAATCCATTAAATGCAGGTTACCTTTAAAGGGAAGTCCTCAAAGGCTAGAAAGTCCAAAGAAGCTCAAAGTCAGAGAGAAAAGCCACTGCTGAGTGACTGAGCATTTAAACATGAGGCTGGGGGGTGTGGGGGGGTTTGAGAGAGGTAAGACTGGTGGATCCAGATCTGGCAGATCAGGCCAGAGTGGATGTACTGGGGGAAAAAAAGTCTCCACACAAAGGGAGACAATAGAAACATCTACGTCATCCTTGGCTCTGGGTAGAGTGGAAATAATTAAAAACATTCTCCTGGAGAATTCCAACACACACCCATGTACTCTCACAGGTTAGGGATTGAGTTGGGTACTAAGGTTGTGACCACTGACCACACCCCTGAAAAGCATCTCACACTCAAAATGGTTCTGCATTGGTAGGGCCATCCATATACACACATGGAGGGAAATTCCAGCTCTTTCCAAGAACACACTAAAACACAGGCTTCAAAGAAACCCCTGAGCAAGAGTTCACAATAGAAACACATACGTGAGTCACCATGAGTGAAAGACAAAAGGAACAAAAAACCACAGAATAAAGACTGTAAATAATGAAAATATGTCCCAAACCATAGAAAAGTACGTATGTTATATATCATCTGCTTATCACAAGGAACTAAAAAGGGAAATTGAAAGCATAATGGAAAAACAAGAGACCATTAAAAAATGACAGAACAAATCTGAAAAAAAAATACAACTTTAAAGAAATGAAAAGATGATCACTGAAATTAGATAAATAATGAATTAAACTACATACTACACACAGTTGAGAACAATAGGTAATGAATTAGAAGACAGGTGTGAACAAATTACCCAGAATAAAGCACAAAGTTGTTTTTTTTTAATTTTTTAAAAAGATTTATTTATTTACGCACACAGGACTGGTGTATAGGCCAGAGGTACAGGGGCGGCAAGAGGATTCACCAGAGACAGAGTGGGGAGCAGCAGGCGGGTCAGGAGAGGTCTGCCGCCATGTGGATCTCCTCCAGGGTGGGCCGGGATTGAACTCATGCTGAAGTGGCTTTAGCTTCTCAGTGATGTCCTTTAAGCCACTGCACCACCAGGGAGGGCCTATTGTAAATAATTTTATTCGAGGGTAGAGTGGAGGTATTATAAGTTTATAAGCTAAAATTTCATGTTAAATTTTCTATATAACTATTATTTGGAAACTAATAGAAGAGGCCTTCCTGGGACACAAGGAGCTAAGCGTCAGCACTATGAAGCTATTAGAAGCTAAGGCAGCACAAGTTCCATCCCTAGCCAGGGAGCTGACCCACATGTCAGGCACAGCAGACCTCTCCTGTCTCTCCCACAGCTCCCCTCAGCACTGTATATCAGTAGATCCACCAGTAAAGTATTCTGCTCCCCACTTTCTCTGGTGAATCCTCTCACCTACCACTCCTGAACCTCTGGACTGCATAAATAAAGTCTTAAAAAAAAAGAAGAAGAAAGAAAAGAATAAGAGTTAGAAAACATAACTTCTAAAATAGCAGGAGAGTAAAATGAAAAAGCAAAGCAAAAGTTAATTCAATAGAAGGTAAAGGAGGACAAAAAGGGAAATTTTTGTTTTAAAGCAGAGCAGCCATAAAACACATACATAGACTGTGGACATTAATACACATGAATGATTTAAAGTTATTGTCAGAATGGATTAAAAAGAAGATCCAACTATATTTTAGTAATGAATATTTAAAACATAAGGATACAAAGTAAATATATCTAGAGAATAAGTCTTTCTGCACTTTTTATATACATATTAAAATGACTTAAGAGAAAGTGTTTTACATTAAAACATTTTTAAATCAAATTTGTATTTCTACATTAATACTAATAGGAGAGAGAGAAGAACTGAGAAATGCCCAGATAATGTATTTTCCCAGTTACTAAAACCTTAGGAGTGGGGGGAATGAAGCTCAGCACAAAAAAGAAATTCTGTGGACTAGACATATTAAAACAGGTAATTTATTCACTTTGCAGAAGGGGGTTAAAAAGATAATTTTGTCTGTATAGAAGGCAAACCATATAGCTGCCTCTAGAGTAGTTTCATATAGTTAAAAAGCAATGTTTCATGAAAACTGAATATACTTAACACTACTGTAACGTACACCTAAGAATGATAAGATGTATGCTTTTATTTTTTTAAGCTCAATGGAAAAAAGCAAACAAAACTAACACTATGTAAGGACACAGGTATGGTATGTGTTAAAATTATAGAGAAAAAGCAAGGGAATGAAAACACAAAATTCAAGGTGAAATGACCTGGGACTAGGCAGAGGCGTGAGATACAAAGGTCTTGTGTTCATTTCTACAAAGGTCTGTAAATATGTGTGATGGGTTCATGGGTATTTTTTCATAATTATACTTTATGATTTAGAGATACCATTCTTACCTTCATAAGGTTAAAAAATAGGAGTGGCGTGGATTCGAATAGAAAACCCAGATATAAACCCACGAGTTTATGGACACCTAATTTTTGACAAAGGAGCAAAGAAGATACAATGGAACAAAGAAAATTTGTTCAGCAAGTGGTGCTGGGAAAACTGGGTAGCTACATGCAAAAAAATGAAACTAGATCATTGCCTCACTCCAGTCACAAAAATCAACTCGAAGTGGATTAAAGACCTAGACATAAGAACGGAAACCATAAAATACCTAGAAGCAAAGATGGGTCAAACACTTCACGACATACACTTTAGCGACATCTTTAAAGACAGAGTACCCAACGCCACAATAGTGAAGGCAAAGATAAATAGATGTTAAAGAGCTTCTGTACAGCAAAAGAGACATTACTAAAAACAAACAGAAAGATCACTAATTGGGAAAACATTTTCTCACACAAAAGTAGCGATAAAGGACTGATCACAAAAATATACGGAGAACTGATGAAACTCAACAAAAATGAAGTAAACAACCCCATCAAAAAATGGGCAGTAGAGCTAAAAAGACACTTCTCCAAAGAGGAAATGCAGATGGCCAACAGGCATATGAAAAAATGTTCAACATCACTCGTCATAAGGGAGATGCAAATTAAAACCACAATGAGATACCACCTCACCCCAGTGAGAATGGCACATCTTCAAACAACTAGCAACAACAAATGTTGGCGAGGATGTGGAGAAAAAGGAACTCTCCTGCATTGCTGGTGGGAATGCAAACTAGTACAACCACTATGGAAAACTGTTTGGAGGTTCCTCAAACTGCTAAACATGGAGCTTCCCTATGACCCAGCAATCCCACTCCTAGGTATCTACCCAAAAGACACAAAAACACTGATTGAAAAAGATACTTGTACCCCCATGTTTATTGCTGCTTTATTTACAATTGGAAAAACATGGAAGCAGCCCAGATGCCCAAAAGTAGATGACTGGATTAGAAAGATGTGGTACATATATACAATGGAATATTACTCAGCAACCAAAAAAGAGAAACACATGTCTTTTGCAGCAACTTGGATGGAGCTGGAAAAGATCATGCTTAGTGAGATAAGCCAGAAAGAGAAAGAAAAATACCGGATGGTTTCACTCATAGCAGGAGTATAATGGACCAGGCGAGAAAATAACAAAAATAATGAACAACCATAGACCAGAGACATTATGTGGGGGTGGAGTGGGGAATGGGATCAAAAACGGGGGAGGGGGGGAAGGGAGGGAAATGCACGGGACTATGGTGGTGGCACAGGGGTGATTTGGTGATGGGAAACCCGTGGGGATTACAATTGAGATGAAAAAAAAATTGTAAAAATGATGTAAAAATAAACTTTTTAATAAAAAAAAAAAATAGGGGTGGCATAGAAGTGAACATCAAGGGCTACCTTGCTCCTGGCTGAGGGCGCTTTCACCAAAAAGAATTTTGTTAATGCAGTACAGATTTTACAAAGCAGAGAGAGGACGAAGTAGAAATGGTAAAAGTAATTAGAGAGATATGGGGAAGGCAAGAAGGCAGGTGAGGGAGAAAATCTGGTTAGCTGGGGGAGCTGGGTGCACAGAAGACCCCAAGTCTCCTGCTGACCCCATCAGTCAATATTCTACTAGGATTTTTCAAGTTGCTTTTCACTGCTTTATCCTCCTCTCTTTCACTTCCTATGCTAGCAGAGAGAATAACAATCCCTTGGATGTTTTAACTTTACAAAAAGGAAACACAAAAGTGAGCTCATTTTCCTATATAAAAAGCTTGGTGCTAACAGTAAGGTATTTAGGTGATAAACGAAGAGGAAAGGACAAAAACAATTCTTTGACCTATCATTTAAAGAATATTCTTGAGTTCAATAGTTTCTTTCCTTTTAAAGACAGATAAATCCTGGGTTTTACATAAAGCATATAGAAAAACATTTAAACACCAACCAGAAGGCAAATACCAAGTCTTTATCACCCCACACCGTTCCTCCCCCC